TTAAAAGAATCACCAGGCCCCCTACTTAAAGTTAAAGTTCAGATAAACAAGAAACAATGTTTTGTTGTAAGTATTTCCTTTGTACTAGGAGGGAGACAGTGAAACAATTCTTGGGTTTTTTTTTCTCTGAAACTCAAAGGCAATCGGGCTTCCATTGTTTACATAGATGGGCCCAGGCCTTAAGCTGCTGGCAGACAGCGGACAGCGTGAGAGATGAGAGCAGGTCTTGCTGAAGGCCCCTGTGGCGCCTCAAGGAGACAGAAAGGAAGAAGTGAGCCCAGGTCTGGACAATCCCCACAGCGAGAAAGGAGGTGGGGACCCAGTAGGGAACACTTTCAGGGATGTGGACTCAGCCAGACTCCATTCCTGACCCCCCCAAAGGCAGGGAATCCCTGGGGCCCCCTTTCTCCCCTGGTGCACAAGGTGAACTCTATGCAAGGTTGGACTGAGACACTTGCCCCAGTAGACACTGGTTGTCCCTGTCTTGTGTGGAGAGTGGTGGTTTCACAAGGGCCTTTGACATATCCCCCACAAATGGAGAGGAATATATATACATACATACATATATATATATATATATATATATATATATATATTCAAGCATAGAGGTACATGCCTTCTTATTTGTTTTGTTTTTTAAAAACAAGGTTTCTCTGTTTAGCCTTGGCTATCCTAGAACTCACTCTGTAGACTAGGCTGACCTCAAACTTAGAGATCCAGCCTGCCTCTGTCTCCAGAGTGCTGGGATTATCGGCATCTGTGAGTTCAAGGCCAGCCTGGTCTACATACTGACTCACTACATATTTAGTGAGAACCTGCCAATAAATTATTTTAGTTTTGAGACTGGGGGTTTAGATTAATGACCCACTACTCTGAAGAAAATAAAAAGACAAAAATTGTGTGGGCATGTGCATGTTTGTGTGTATGTATATGTACTTACATGTGGTAGATGTGGGGGAGTGCACAGGCATGTGTTGTGTATGTGGAAACCAGAGACCAAATAGTCAGAGTGGTGTGTGTAGTCTGTATGTGTGTGTGTGTGTGCAGGGATGTGTGCCTGTGTGTGTGTGTGTGTAGATCAGAGATCAATGGAAGAAGTCTTCCTCAATCATTCTCCACCTTACTTTTTGTTTGTTTGGTTTTGGTTTTTTAGGTTGGATTTTTCTGTGTGATCCTGGCTGTCCTAGAACTTGCTCTGTAGACCAGGCTGGCTTTGAATTTAGAGGTCCTCCTGCCTCTGCCTCCCGAGTGCTGGGATTACAGCACCATCGGCTGGCTGTCACCTTACTTGTTTTGAGACGGTTTCTCACTGACCCTGGCACCCTTGGATTAGGCTAGGTCAGCCAGCTTCCAGGGATCTACCCACCTGCCTCCCCAGCCACTGGGATTGCAGGCACACACTACTCTGCCGGGCCTTTTATGTGGGTGCTAGGGACTGCACTCAGCATGCACTTTCTAACTAAGCCACCTCGCCAGCCCCCACCTTCTTTTAGAGGGCTCCTCGATCACTTTTAGAGGGCTCCTCGATCAGGAGAGGCTGGCCCTCTGCCTCCCCAGCTCTGAGATTACATGGGAGGGCCACCACAGCCTAGCTTTTTGACATGGTTGCTGAGAATCTAATCAGGTCTCCACGCATGTACAGCAAACCCTTTACTATCTCACAGTTCCCTTCATCCCCATTTTATAGACAAGGAAACTGAGGTTCTGGTGACTTGAATTACCAAAGCACCTGGCTAGTTTTCAGTAGACAAGGGTTCTATTCCAGGTCTGTGTCTCCAGGCCTAGACTCCAGGGTGTCAACAACCTGCTCCCATCCTGTTCCTGGGACTATTGTCTTCCCTGTGTCTGGCCTATAGTTGGGAAGCTTGCAGGGATGGCCTGGGCTGGGCTCCTTCTGCCTGGCTCCTCTGTCTCCAGCCTGAAGGATATAGCAGTGTTTGTTGGAAGATAAAATCTTGTTGAAAGTAGACTGCTCCAGTCTTTACCCAATAACCCTTCCTGTGTGCCGTGTCTCCAAACAACCTGCAAAGCCAGCATCAGGGGAAGGAACCAGCTGGGGGCTGATCTGTCCTCCTCCGGCCTCTTCCAGAGGAAGCCCCTCCCAGGGCCCCCCCAGGCACCACCCAGCATCCCCTTCATCATAGGAGGTCAAGTCTTTGTCCCTACTCAGAGAAGTAAACAAAGCGGCTGAAATGTGTGTAAAGCAGAAGGTCCAAGAGCTGTGCCCCACCCACAGACCGGCCTGGCCTTCCTCCCAGGGTCAGCAGCAGATGCCCCGGACAGTGAGGTCGGTTAGACAAGAGGGCCGAGTTCAGTCCTGTCTGCGAATGGAAGCTTGGCACCTGTGGGTCGCCATGATGGTCTCCACACAGATGTGCCCTGACATAGCATGACCTCACAGCCTCCTCAGTCCATGCTCACATGGGGCTCTTCCACCCCCACGACTCTGGGCGTTGCAGACCCTCGCCCCTCCCACACAGTCAGATCAGAGCCACAGGAAGCAGGGCCCGCAAGTGTGCAAGGTGAGAGCCAAGATGGGGAAGTTTGTTCTCCAAGAATCATCTAAACACATGGGCGAGTATTTTTAGCCCACAGCTCCTACCGGGATGCCAAAACCTAAACACAGGGAAGGAGAGGTGGCCCCTTGGGAATAGAGGCAGCCACTGGAAATGGGGGGGGGGGGACAGCAGACCCCACCCTGTCCGTCAGAGTGGCCTGTCTTCCGGGATGGCTCTGACGAAGAAAGTTGACTATGGGAGCTTAAGGAGGTACAGAGTGACCCCAGGCTGTGACCCCACGGGTCTGACAGGTTTCTTGACCCTGCTGTACTGCAACTTCCTCAACCATGCAATGGAAGAAGTCCTCATTCACAAAATGGTAGACCCACGGTCAGCACACAGTAGGTACTCAATAAATGTGCTTCATAGCCTGTGGAGCTCAGAGAAGGCTGGCTATGGCGTGGGTGCTTTCCCCAGGCTCAGCATCTGTGGGGAAGCACTCGTGTGCAAATGTCTGAGTGTGCACACCCATGCAGTCACCTAAGGAGATGGAAGAAAGAGAAGAAAGGACAGTCAGAATAGGCCTCCCTTGTACCCGAGGAGCCATGGCAGGCCCCACGCCCTCGGAGAAAACTGCCTCATGAGACAGGCGGCCACCTACTCCAAGTGGGGGTCAATACAGTCAGTGAATTCACTCAGAAGAGGATGTTCTTCAGTGACAGGCACCTCCTTGTGTGGGGACGAGGCCAGGGGAGCGCTCATGGTGACCGGCCACTGAGTGGCTTTGCCAGGAGTGCCTCCAGAACACACAGGGACAGTCTGAGGCCTGGATGAACACTGCCCCACTCTGACTTCCACTAGCCAGGTAGGTTTATTACGGGCCAGGCAGGCAGGAGAAGGTCCCATGCCTTCTACCTGGGGTGGAAGATTCAGGCTCCTCTGGTCACTTGCAGAGAGTTAGCACTTCTGGTTCTGCTGCTACCTTATTCGCTGAAGGCCGAGTAGAGGACAGGTGAGAGGTGAGTGTGGAGGGAGGTGGGGGAGGGGTGTGAGAGAGAGAAGGGGTTGGGGGGGAGGTTGTCCAGCCATGCAATGGCTGTTCTGACCTCACAGCCCAGAGCCTGGGGAGGAGGCCCCTGAGATCCCCTGCAGGCTTCCTGGGAACTAAAGAAAACCCTTGGCTCACATACCCTCTGCTGACACAGGCTGCCTGCTGTTGCCATGACTACAGAATACCACCACCACCACCACCACCACCACCATCCTAGCTGTGTGGCCATTGGTGAAGCAGGAGGAAGATACTTACTATGGGCCACAAATGGAAAAGAGAGAGAAGAGGGTAGTTGGGGAGATGGCCATTCATCTTACCCCAGGTTTAGCTGACTGGGGATACTGGCATCATTACCAGACACCCTCCCCAGGCGACAAGCAGCAGGGCCTTGTTGGCCTCATGAGCCCATGGTTTGCACCTTCTGTGGGAACACACACCTCTCAGCCCTAGGCAGAGTGACCCGGCTCCGGCCTGGCTCCAGCTCTCCTATTTGCTCAAGGTCTGTGACTTCATCCTCACTTCACATAGCTCGAAACTCCAACACTGCCATGGACGGTGTGTACCATCCTTGCTTCTGGGTCCCTCCACACACCCTCCCTGCTGTCCCTCCTTGGGGAAAGCCCACCGGAGACATAGTGACTCTTCCCGTCACATCTGTTGCTGACTCATGAGTAGACCCTGCCCTGGACATGAACCTGGGAACCCGTTCCACCTTGTCCTTCCTTACTTCTGCAACCCTATGGCACAGAAGAGCCACATCCTGGCCCTGGGCACAAGCCCACCGTGGCCTAGGATCTATAACACCCGGACCGCCTATCCCCATCCCTCCAGTTGCTGCTCTGTTCTTCCTCCCTCCTTCTCTCCCCCTGCTGCTTCCTGATGGGTGCCCTGCCCGACCCCCTGCATTACAGAATCCAGATGGCCTCCTTCTCTTGCAGACGCCCTGGCCCTGACCATCCATGGGAACTGCAGCTGCCCTTCCTGGACTCTGTCACTGCCTTCTTACCTCTTGGACGGTCTGGACTGAGAACCCCAGGCATCTCATTGTTTTGTCCCTGTCACCTGCCCAGTTATCTGCCAAGCTCAAGAGATATTTGAGCAAATGAATGAATCCCGCTCCATTGGATGCCGTTCCATGCTCCTCCTGAGCTCCACTCCAGCTCCACTATGTAGTCTTCATCTAGCCTCTGCTCTTAGACCTGTTTCCCCCACTGTAAAACGAAGATCCTGGTCAGAGGTCCTCTGGCTTTTTTCGTGTTGGTGTTCCAAGGTACCTTCACCATCTTTCTGAGGTTGGGAGGTGAGGGAATGTGTGTTGATAGGGCACTCACATACACAGGCAGGGTCAGACCTGTTTTGGGAGAAACCTCCAAGCCTTAAGGTCCCCGCCCTGTGGAGTGGGGTGAATAGAACAAGGTGATCTTACAGAGTTAAAAAAGACTTGCAAAGGGTTTCTCCAAAAATATATCCATATTTTATTGTAGGGAGGAGGTGGATGGTCTAGAACTTTCTCTGTGGAGAGCAGGCTGGCCTCAATCTCAGAGATCCACATGTCTCTGCACCGTCCAGTTCTGGGATTAAAGGTGTGCACCACAGACAGCTACCCGTATTTCAATAGTCCCCAAAGTCCAACCTGCAAAGTCTAAGAAAGTGAAGCCATGTTCTCTAAAGGTCAGAGGTCACGTGTCCGGAATTGGTGCGTCACTGGAGGAGGCCGGTCACCAGGCACGTGAGTGTAGGGACCAACAGGGCAGTCAGGGGTAAAGACAGCAGCTGTCCTGGGGCATGGGACCTGAACACCTGGCGGTTTCCTAGCTGCTGCAGGGGCCTCACGTTGTCCTTCATAGTCAGACTCTTGTCTTCGTCATAGTACAGCTCCTTGGAGAATTTCAGGAACTGTGAAAGAGACAGTGCTCAGCAGGTGGGGCCATTCTCCTGGCTGTGTCACCTCCCGACACCTCACCTCTCAGAGCCACAGCGGAAAGAGAGGGGGGCTGGGAGTGACCACCCGAGTGGAATGTGGCATGTGTGGGGAGCTGAGTCCCACTGCTTCCCCTCCCTCCACGGTCACCTTTCCTGGCCTGTTACCATCACTTTTGCTGTGCTACAGTGGCTCTTGGAGGTGAACATCCTTTAGCATCAGCTGAAGGAGCTCAGGGGATTCCAGCCCCAGAATATGATTCAATAGATATGGAGTGAACCTAAGAATGGACATTTCTAGAAAATGCTCACCGGTAAAGATGTTGACATCACACTTTGAGAATCACGGCCATAATAAGCCCAAGGGATTTTGGTCGTTTGGGCTTCCTATTGTCTTTCCAGAGGCTATTGTAGACTCAAGTGCTGTTTGTTGACTGCACTAAGGAAGTGCACTAAGGAATTCCAACCTGAGCTCTCTCCGAGAAACACTCTAACCAGTCACCTCTCCCACTTTTCTGGAAGCCTATTCTGAGCACCCTCCGTGACTTCTCACAAGGCCCTCTATTCAGGACAGCGGCCGACAGCTTTCCTTCATGCCTGTCTCTGCCAGTGGAAACCCAAGGGCTGACACAATGATTCTCGTCCCCCACCCCAGAGACCTGTTGGGCAGGGGGGGGCTCCATGTGGGAGACTGCACCTTGCCCCAGGCCTGAGTACCTGGTCTTTGTGGAGCTTAATGGGTTCCTTGAACACAGTCCAGATGACTGTCTCGTCACAGTTGGGGGTGGTCAGCGAGCCCAGGTAACGGAAGTAGTGAACCAGTTTCTCCTTCTTAGGAAGCATGTCCTGCAGGCAGCTCTCCTTCATCGTGGTGTTTGTATCTAGCGTGGGGGACAAAGTCCCTTACATATGGCACTCCGAAAAGCTGCTACCCCAGCACCCCTGCCCCTTCTGCTGTGGGAAGACGTCATCTCCTCCGCAGTACTGACTCACTGGGTGTGGAGATATGGGACAGTGCCTCCACCAAGGGCTGGAAACCCTGGTTCATCTCGTCTCCCACCTGGAACGGGAAGGAAGGAAGCTAAAGAGCGCCCCGGAGAGCTGCTGGGGACAAGCAGCTCTTTCTGGAAGACGGACAACCTCCAGGGTTATGGGGATGGGAGTCCCACCTCAACCATGAATGCCAGCACTGCGTTCTTGTCCTGGGAGTCCTGCGCCTTATTGCTCGATGTCGCCTTCTCATGTACGACGTGCATCTAGGAGGGGGTGTGTAGGAGGGCAACTTATGGGGAGCTGGATCACCCGTCCTGCCCAAGGTGGGTGCACACCCAGAGCCCAGCCCACGCACCAGCGGGAGGGTTCGTTCCTCACCTCCATGGCAAAGTGTTTCCCATCAATGCTGTGTTCTGAGCCTTTGTCAAACTCCTGTGACCAGTGCAGGTGCAGCTGCACAGCCTGGTACTGTGCCGGCAGGTCTCCTCCAGCGATGAAGCTTCCGTCTCCCAGCATCATTTTCACTGGGGGCGCCCGAGTGGGCAGAGTCCTCATGCTGGCCTCCCAGTCCCCACCCCAGATCCCATCACCTCCCACCTTCACTGAGGCCTAGACCCCTAGGAGACACACAGCGTTCACTCTCCCTGGCTGCCTCACCGCCTCACCCCAAACTGTAGCCCTGTCCTGAGCCTGTTTTGACTCCCTCCGTGGTCCGCCACACTCCTCAGCCCTGGTGACCTGTTCCAGGCCTTGGTCAGCTCCTCCTAGCTTCCCTCTACGGCCTCTTTCCACACACAGCGGCTCCCACTCAGTTCCCCACCCAAACGCCCAGGCAGTTTCACGCCCCCGTGCTCTCACAAAGGTCGTTCCCTCCTTCTGGGAATGCTCCCTCCCTGCAGCCCACTGTTCTGATGAAATGACTGAAAACACAACTGACTAACGCCTCCTCCTCTCTCTCGAGGCGTCCCAGCTGCAGGCCTGAGCAACTCGCCGTCCTTGCAGCTCGCCCTGCCCAGCCAGTCCTCGCAAGACCCACCTGAGTGTCCGTCGTTCTTGACTACCCACTTCTTCTTTTGGTCATAGCCGTGGAAAGTGAAAGGCTTCAGGTCGGGGTTCATCTTGGCCTCCGTGGTGACAATGTTGATGGGGGACTGGTGGGTCTTCTTACAGTCCCCAGTCCAGTCAGCAGGTCCTGGGCAGGAAAGAGAGGTCTGAGATTCAAGGGCGCCACGTTGACCCAGTGATGAGTCAGGGGCTTAGACTGCTGGTGAGGTCCTGTAGCAGGGCATGAGTCTCTCTGTCCTAACATTCCTCTTCCTCCTCCGACAGGCTTGCTAAGAGCTCTGGGACTGGAGTAACCTCAGGATGCTGAGCTCTGGCTTTCTCAGGGGGAACCTGGACCCATAAGGCACGTTCAAGGAGTGTTGGGAAGATTGAAAGGGTCTGAATGGGCATGGCGTATGCCTTTAGTCCCAGCACTTGGGAGGCAGAGGCTGGTGGATCTCTGTGAGTTCGAGGCCAGCCTGGTCTACAGAGTAAGTTCCAGAACAGGCTGCAAAACTATGAAGACAAACCCAGTCTCAAAAAAAAAAACAAAAAACAAAAACAAAAAAACAGGGAGGGGGGCGGGGAGGCCAAGTGGGAGATTTTGGCTTTTCAGCTTTGGCAATTGTGGAGGAGGACCCTCTGGAAGAGCTGTGATGCAAAGATGAACTTGAAAAGGCATTATAGCCGGGCGTTGGTGGCCCACGCCTTTAATCCCAGCACTTGGGAGGCAGAGGCAGGCGGATCTCTGTGAGTTCGAGGCCAGCCTGGTCTACAGAGCAAGTTCCAGGACAGCCTCCAAAGTCACAGAGAAACCCTGTTTCGAAAAACCAAAAAAAAAAAAAAAAAAAAAAAAGGGTTATCTAAGGAGTGGGAGGGGGGAAGAGCTAGGCGACTCCAGCTTTCAGCTAGAGGGTGGCCGTCGTCCCTCCACAGCAGGCTGCACCGGAAGGTTGGTCAACATTAGGAAAAGTGCCAAGGAGGCAACGGAGGCTGTGGCTCAATGGTAAAATTCTTCTTGTCTAGGAGCATGTGCAAGACCCTGCACGCCTCAGTACTCCAGCAACAACTACCAAGAACCATCTCCCACTTCCACCTCAAAGGGCTTGACCAGAGTCAAGCCTCCACTGTGTCAGACAAAAATAGCAAATGTGTTGCTAATTTAGTTTCCAGTGTCAACCTCAGTACATTCACTGTTTCCTAGTCACTGAGAGCTGGACATGTGTGCGAGTGTGCCTGTGTTGGAAGAAGCTGATGAGTGTGGCACTACTCACCCTGGCAGTGGCTGTTGGGCTCCTTGGCCTGGATCTCATAGCACCAGTGTGCGGCTGGAACAGAGAAAGGAAGAATGTGAACCCTGGGTGTGCGCCTGAATTGCTCACACAGCCCCATGGACCAGAGCCTGGGAAAAACTCTGGTGTCGAAATCCTCTGCTGGGTTGGGATGGAAGGTTTCTGGAGTGTGGGACTGAAGTCCCCAAGGAAGTAGACCTAATGATGAAAGGAATGGCCATGTGGTGGTGCACCCTTTTAATCCCCCAGCACTTGGGCTCGAGTTCCAGGCCAGCCTGGTTTACAGAGCAAGTTCCAGGATAGCCAGGGCCACACAGAGAAACCCTGTCTGGAAAAACAAATAAGATAAAGTGAAGGCCGGGCGTTGGTGGCCCACGCCTTTAATCCCAGCACTTGGGAGGCAGAGGCAGGCGGATCTCTGTGAGTTCGAGGCCAGCCTGGTCTACAAGTGCTAGTTCCAGGACAGCCTCCAAAGCCACAGAGAAACCCTGTCTCAAAAAACCAAAAAAAAAAAAAAGATAAAGTGAAACAACTGGAATGTCAGCACTCGTCATGATTAGGGTGCTGGTCTTCAGGGCCTCTCTAAGGCTCTGTCCCTGGGACATCAACCTTTCTTCCCTCCTGCATCCTGCCTGGAACTGAAGAGGAGGCCCAGCTGGGCGTGAAGGATTAGAACAACCCTCCTTTCCGGAACAAGAGAGTGGGTTCCATCCTTCCAGCCGGGCTACCACGGGGATCGGGGAGGAGGGTGCTGATCCAGGCAACTGTGGATGGGCAATCCCTCCTTAATGCCCCTTTTTGCTTTGCCAAGGTCCACTCTGAATTATCATAACTCTGAAGACAGAAGAACCAGTAATCCTGAACAAAGCAGCCGTGATCTGCTGACAAGGGGACCCATGCAGGGGCACGGCATATCCAAGCATTCTGCTCCAAAATAAGGTCTACAGGAGAAAGAGACAGACAGACAGATTCACAGACCATGCTTTTTCACCAACAGGATGAATGAAGCATTTCATCCAAAATTAGAATTCTGACCAAGCCACTTAGGAGCCCTGTGTTTGAGGACGGTCCCTTACGCTTTGGTTTTGTAATCTGTTAAATGGCCCTAAAATGTCCACCACGAGACTGGAGAGGATTAAATGAGAGGTGGTGTGGACTCCTCCAGGCAGCTGACACTCAGTAAAGTTCAGACAACTCTGCCCCTCCTCCCCGGCCTCCTGTCAGTGAGCAGATGGCCGAAACTAAGCCAAGGCAGGAGAGGAAAAGACATGGAGTGAGTTGGAAAGAATTCCCGGGTGAGGACATTCCTAAGAAAAGGGTAGTGCTGGGCTCAGCTCGGGGTCCTCACAATGCATCATCAGCCCCGTCCTTCTGGGAGCTTTGTGGCCTTCGTCTTGCTTTGTCATTCTTCCAGTGCTGGGAGGCAAACCCAGGGCCTGGTGCATGCCAGGCAAGTGCTCTACCACTGAGCCATGGCCCCAATCCTTGTTTTGCCTTGACTGCATCTCCCTATGAAGCACAGGCTCGGATTACAGGTGTGTATCCTGGACTGTATCCTGCCTAAGCTTTGCACCCCCAAGCCCCATCTCTTCCCGAGTCTGGGCAGCAGAGCCATCCCAGAAACAGACATGGTGGGGAGGGACACAGAAAAACCAAACTCCTTGTAGCCAGGAGGAGCAAAGTTCTAGGCTATTAGAGTGAGCCCTCCAGGAATTGGCCTCCAAAGGCCGATTCTGATTTTTCTAGTTTCAGAGTTCACGCCTGCTGCCCAGCTGGCATGGTCTTGTTTAGATATCAGGGTCCCCCCATGGCGGTTCTACTCTCCGGGAGCAGCTGCACTCAGGGAAGTGTGTATGAGGCCATTATGCAGAGGGCAGTGAACCTGGGAGTCTGCTCCCCTTCCTTCCAGGCCTGCTCTGCCCCTACCCCGAACTTGCAGATCAGATGAAGTGGGGGCCAGTCACACTGAAGAGAGGAGCTGTCTTCCTGAGTCATTGGTCCTCAGAGGACCTGGAAGTAGAACAGGCTTCCCCGAAGAGGAATAGAGTTCTGGGAGAGCAGCCATGGACCCCGCCCTACCCCCTTAGCCCTTGGGGCCCAAAGGGAAGCTATTCCTGGAGAAAGCTGGCTCTGGAGGGTAGGGCCCTTAGGCATGCCCAAGGGGGACTCCATCAGGGTATTTCTTGGGAATCTTCCCTTCCCTGGCTCTGGCCCCAGCTCCCTGGTTAGCTTGACCTCTGACCCACTGTCTTAATCATAAAGACTTTTGACCTGCTTGGCTGAACACTCTTGTAACTACCCTCTTCAGGAGGTGGTGGCCAGAAAAACAATGTTGATGAGGCGGGAGCCAGGGTCAGGTAGGCACCTCACAGTCAGTCAGGTGGCAGGGCACCAGTCACTACGGCTCTCCCACACGTGCTTCTGAGGGTTAGCATTGCAGAGAATGAAGTGCTCCCAGTCTTTGGCCATGCCCAAAATAAAGGACCTGGGAAGGATAGAGGCTCCCAGCTGTGTCCCACCTAATCCTGGGCCAGAGGTGAGGTTAGAGACAAAACATTGCCCCTTACCGAGCCACTGTTCTCAGGCCTTAGTCACAAGCCCACCCCCTCCCCTTTTTTCTTTTAACTTTCTCTTTTAATTAACTTAGCTTTTACATTCCAATCCTAGTTCCCCCTCCCTCCTCTCCTCTCACTCCCCCTACTTCTCTCCACCCTCACCCCTAAAGTAAAGCCTCCCCTAAGAAGTCTACTAAGTCTGTCCCATTGAGGCAGGACCAAGGCCCTCACCCCCTGCCTAGGCTAATCCCCCCCTTTAAGTCCAGTTTTATCTGGATCAGGGACCTTTTAGAGAGGACTGAAGTCATTTTAATGGACCTTGCTCAACCCACCCTCACTGCGAGGGAAGGAGGAAAACTCTTGCAACCAGCTCAGCAGAACCTGAGTGTGTCCTGGGCAAAGTCTCAGCACCTCCCTGCTCTGGGTCTGGGGCTCTGAAAGGGTGGAATCTCTCCCTCCTCCCCCCTAAGGATTTTCTCTTGCCACCTGGGTGCTTTCCAATTCCTGCAGGATGATGCGCCGAAGGAAGGTGGTCCTGGCACTAACACGGGAAGAGTTTGTGTGAAGAGGTCAGCTGAGGTGGATTTCTGCCTACATGGCCCCAGGTCATCGGCTGCGCCCCATGACCATCTTGTAGAGTACTTCTGCCCAGAGCCCACAGGCACTGCCTACAGTCTCACACTTATTATCAAGCAGTGCCCAGGAGCAGTTGCTATACCGCGCTGTAAACGACAAAACAGGTTATATGACTCACCGAAGGTGAACAGCTAGGAGGCACCCGTTAATTTAGAAACATTTTCCTTTATACTAAATCGTTTCAAATATCCAACCCAGCCTTCTCTTCAATCATTTTCTGTCTCTCTCTCATTGTATCAGATGTTCTTTTCCCTCCTTCTAGGAAGGAGCTTTGGAGTTGTTGTAGGATGCCATACATCCTCCAAGCCATGCTCCTCCTGCAACAGGGAGCATTCTCTTTCCTCTCTGCGGCCGAGAGCTCCCTTGAGAGTTGACCCCTGCTCCAATCCAAGGGCAGAGTACCTATCTCTGGAAGGGAGGTTTGGCCGGTTGGAGGGGAAAGCTTGCCTGCGGACGAAGAGATGAGGTCTTTGTGAAGAGCTATGGGGTAGCGGAGAAGGTGCCAGCCGCTAGAATCTCCTTTACCTCCTTATCAAATATTAACACGCCTCTACCACTACCTCCCACCTAGAAGAATAATTAGGAGCTCGGTCTCACCATTAATCTTTAAACGAAAATCACCTTGTCCGGAAAGACCGGCTTGGCCGGGGACTTGGGTCTTGGGATGCCCCCCGCCAGGCTCCCAATCCAGCGCTGGGGGCTGGGGAGAAGGGAGCTTGCAGCTCTGAGGCCAGGAACCCAAGGTGGGGAGAGAGGAACGCCAGGACCCCAAAACATCCAACCTGCTGCGCGGGCAACAGCTACCGGCTCAGAGTCCCTGCAGGTGGCCACTGGCCACCCAGGGGCAGACCCAGGAGAACCAAGGTAAGGAAAGGAGCGTGCATCCCGGCGGGTCGGAGAAGCATCCTCACCACAGATCACACGCGCGTCCGCCACGCGTACAGCCCGCGGTCGCGCACATGGGAGCACACGCTCCTCCGCAGCCGCCCGCGGACATATGTAGATACCCACGCTCCCTCGTAGCCAGGTCCGCGGCACCCTCACAGTTCCCTGCATGAGCCACGCGCAGCCGGAGAGCGCTGGCCAGGGGAGCGGGGCCGGGGGCGCAGAGGGTCACCCGAGGGTACCTGCGGTATAGCTGACTGCGTAAGCCAGCGCCAACAGAGTACGAAGCAGCTGCATGGTGCTTGAGGACAAAGCCGCTGCCCAGCGCCGGGTCAGGCACGGAGGAAGCCACCGGAGGCGTCGCGATCATGCCGGTTGAGGCTTTATAGCACCACGACGGGAGGGCGCCCCGACAGCAGGACGTGGGAGGCAACTCCTCCTCCTGGCGGAGCCTCCCCTTGCCTCGTCCAGTCTCAGGTCTGAAAGAATCCTCTCCCCGCCTCCCCTGCTACCTTAATCCGCGGTGACAAGACCCCTCACCTACCCCGCCTGGCCAGGGTTTGGAAGTGTAGTTTTCTCAACTTTACCCCGTCCTATTTCTGGTCACTGACCCAGGAACAGAGATGGGCTGTCCCGAGGTCCCTGACCCACAGGGATGCCTTCCCAGATTCGCAGCTTTCATCATGTTGTCACCAACCATTGTGCTGGGTCTCCTAGTGCCTCCTTGGAATGAACTTGATTTGGGGCCCGGGTGGATGTAAAAGGCCTCGAGGAAACCTAGAGATAGGAGGGTTGAAAGCTTTGCAATGCTGTTTCTTGAAGAGATGCCCCGCAAGAGGCTCTTTCGGGTAGCTGTAGCTGTTTCTCGAGTCTCATCATTTTCCTCTCAGGCTGTTCCAAACTTGACTTGGGGTTTTCTTTCTCGATACTGGAGGACACCCCCCTCCCGCGGGGCGCGCGCATTTCCTTTCCTTCCCTATTTCTCATGCTGGGCAAGCACTCCACCACTGAGCTACATCCAAACTGAATTCTAAGAAAACCATGACCCCTTTTCCAGCCTTGAGCTAGGCTCCCTAAACTTCTGTTCCTGGTGGATTTTGTGTGTGTGTGTGTGTGTGTGTGTGTGTGTGTGTGTGTGTGTGTGTATGCTGAGCCAAGGAGATGGGGAGGGATTGGAGGACCGGAAAGGGTAAGGGGATGATAGAATGGGGGGTGGGGGAGCACAATTGAAAGTTGGTTTGTAAAGTGGCTTACTAGGAAACTCCATGGTGTCATAGGGGAAAGGGCTGGTTGATATTGAGATATAGCTTGGGAAGGTCTAAGTGTACCCCAAGCATTCCCATCAATCAGGAAGAGTCTGCAGCAAAGAAAGATTCCTTGAGGAAAACGTCTGTCTCCAGTATCCAGAGAAATGGATCTGGTGTCGATGTCAAGACTTCTTGATGTCGTGGTCTCTGCGGTAGTCCCCTAAGTCTCATGGGGAATCGGTGCATCAGCGGTAGTTTAGGAATCTGGGACCGGATTGGGGAGACTGAGGAATCAGGCAGTCACCTGGACTCCTCCATCAACAGAAAGCCCCATTTTCTGGTCCAGCTACTTCCCCATCCGTTGCCAAATTCTCATCACCATCTCCCTGCCTCGGTACCAGCCTTTGAACCTCTGAAGAGGAATGGCTTCATGAGGACAATCCAAGCAAAGGGGCTTCCTCCCTGGCCAGGGACTGGCCTACTCCTCTCCCTGGCCTGGGATCACACAGCCTACTCGGGCAGCTTTGATCCTACAGAGAGGCAGGGTGGGGGAGGGGCGTCCCCATCAGGCTCCGGGTCTTATTGTCTACTCTGCTCTGGAATTTAACCTCTAACCTAGGAGCATGACATTCCACGATCTTTGAGCCTTATTTGGAGAGTGGACTTGTGTTTGTGGAGCTGAAACTGTCTCTTTTAGGAGTGAAAGGGGAAGAATGAAGGGTCCCGGATGTCCCGGACCTAGACCAGCCCCTAGTCAAACAGGGGGGAGATTTTTTTTTTTTTTTTTTTTTTTTTGGTTTTTCGAGACAGGGTTTCTCTGTAGCTTTGGAGGCTGTCCTGGAACTCACTTTGTAGACCAGGCTGGCCTCGAACACACAGAGATCCGCCTGCCTCTGCCTCCCGAGTGCTGGGATTAAAGGCGTGTGCCACCAACGCCCAGCCCAGGGGGGAGATTTGATAGTGGTTTCTGTATTCATTTTGAAAAAAAAAAAAAAAACCAGCGTGATGGGGCCCCTGTGGAGAAGAATGTGGAAGCCCAGAATGTGTTTAGGCCAGGCTGCAGGGCAGCCCCTCTGAGAAAGGTATTTCTGGCGACACACACTAATTCCAATACCTTGGAGTATGACTAGGGCACTTGAGGTGGTCACGTGGTGTTTTTGTTTGTTTGTTTGTTTTTGGTTTTTGGTTTTTCGAGACAGGGTTTCTCTGTAGCTTTGGAGGCTGTCCTGGAACTCACTTTGTAGACCAGGCTGGCCTCGAACTCACAGAGATCCGCCTGGCTCTGCTGGGATTAAAGGCGTGCGCCACCAATGCCCGGCTGCACGTGGTGTTTCTATCTGCCATTTTCCATTCCATGGCTTCCCAGGAACCCTGGCTATCACACCCTACCCCCACGCTCAACCTCAACTTCCCACTTCCCCTGTATTATCATTTCCAGCCTTATCTCCCAGACCTAACTCCAGTCCTGGTCTGCCATAAACCAATTACCTGTCACATTATCCAAACATCTGGAGCCCAGCTTCCTGAAGAAGGAACCAAGACTGATTTGGAATGATTGGAGGAGAGAGAGATGGGTGGGCTCTAACATGTCTCAGGAATGTGAAGGACCATAAAGCTGCCAGCCCAAGCTGCTGGGATGGGAAAGCCCTGCCCAGTGCCCATGCCCTGAAGCAGTTTCTTCCTCTTACTCAGCCCAAGGTTCCGAGTTCAAGTCTTTGCTCTTCCTCTGACTCAGGGATGACCTTGGGCAATTTTCCTCTCCCTCTGATTGCAACTTCCTCCTCTATAAAGGGGGGGGGGAGGAAGGTGACAGAGTGGTAATCTTGCCCCCATGACCTTCACCAATAAACAGTTACTGGGAACCAACTCAGTCTAGGCTTTCACGACTAAATTTGCTAAGGCCTGGGCGTGGCCGCTGGCCCATGGGTATTCAAAGATGAGTCACAGTCCTTGTCTGTGGGCTTTTACTTGTGTGGCTCTGTCTGTAACAGGAGAGGAAGTGGGCTCAATCTGAGGTCAAAGTGAAGGAGAAGAAAAAGACAGGACAGATTATAGGAACATGAGAAGGAAAAGGAATCCCTTAGTTCAGGGTCTGGATGCAGCCTGTCTCCACTTCAAGAATTCCAACCCAACTGACATTTGCCTTCCCCCTGCCCCCATGTGTAAACCTGCAGTTTAGGAGTCTCACCAGAAATCCCCTTTGTAGGGTAAATGATTCTTTTGTGCCACCAAGTGGTTCCTGGTTTTGCCTTATCAGATGTCACCTCCCTTATCCAAGAGAGATAGAAAGGCCAGTGAAATGGCCCAGTGGGCAGAAGCACATGCTGGCTGGCAAGCCTGAGTTCCACCCATCCAGGGCCCACATAGTGGAAGGAGAGAACCAACTTTTGCAAGTGTCCTCTGACCTCCACACATGCACTAAATAAATGCATTTTAAAAAATTAGGAGAGACAGCACTCGGGAGGCAGAGGCAGGCGGATCTCTGTGAGTTCGAGACCAGCCTGGTCTACAGAGCGAGTTCCAGGACAGCCTCCAAAGCTACAGAGAAACCCTGTCTCGAAAAACCAAAGATAAATAAATAAATAAATAAAAATAAAAAAAATTAGGAAAGAAAGGGGAAATAATGTTTTCTTAGTAACCCCTTGAGAGCCACCAAATGTACCTAATGCTAAGATAGTTAATTGCGAATCCCTTAGGGGAGCTCACACCCACACTTGGATAGGCGTGTTCTTAACCTGAGTGTTCTTTCTCTTGACACCCTTTCTCCCCCATGATTTAAAGTGACTCTCCATGCTTTGGGGTGTATTTTTATTCTTCTCTTTGGTGCATTTCTTTGTATTTTTAGTAAATGCCCAGCTCTGCTTCTTACCGGCTATTTATGAAATTCTTTTTTGTGTCACAGACACAAATCCTAGGTTTGCCTGAATCCAGCTTTTCAAAAGAGTAAATTAACTTTTCCGGTTGCCTTGTATAACAAAGTAGAACTCTGCCTGGGTCCCTGTCACCGCTGACATCTTTGGAGGATTTGCTTGGGACCTGTCATGAGTACTGGTGATGAGTTTCTCTGGCCATTGCTTAGCTGGAGTGTTTTAGTTGTGGCTTAAATGTTTCCTTGGTTTCTTTGCTTCTGCTTCCTGATGATAAATCCATAGAATGTTTATTTTATTTTTATACTGTTTTTAAGGATTATTTTTATTTGTGTGAATGCATGTGTATGTGTGTGTGTGTGTGTGTGTATGAAGGGTACACACATAGTCACACGTGTTACACAATATGCACGTGGAAGTCAGTGACAGTTTTAAGGAGCTAATTCTCTCTGGGATCGAACTCAGATCATCAGGCTTAGCAGCAAGCACCTTTACCCACTCAGCCATCTCATAGCCCCCATGTAGTGTGCCACTAGCACCAAAGACAGAAATTCCCTAGAGTCTTTCGAACTCAACTGTTGGGCTAGATGAAACAGTTCCCATTCCTCTGAGAAGACATCACCATGGAGATTGATCCACAGATGCCTCCAGGAGAGAGCAACCCAGGATGCCTTGGTATACTCCCACATGCTGAATTCAAATACATGAAGAATGGCCACTCCTGGGGCACTGATGGCTCTTCCGGAGGACCCAGGTTTGATTCTCAGCACCCACATGATGACTTGCAACCCTAGTATCTTTAGTCCCCGGGGATTTGACTCCTTCTGGCCTCAACCAGTATAAGGCATGCTTTCGGTGCTCAGGCATCCATGCAGATAAAAACCCCATACACACAAAATAATAATTATAAAAGAATGGCTACTTCTATAATTTCTTGATTCTGAAATGTGTAATGGTATGCAGGTGTGTGTGTGCGTGCGTATGTGTGATGTACATCACAGCACATACATATGGAAATCAGAGGACAACTTTCAGGAGCTCCCACAATGGGTTCTGGGGATTGAGCTCTCCT